GGTGTCTGTGTATGGGCCATTGGTTTATTGAACCTTGAAATTACATTCAGGGCAAAATGGTTGAATTAAAGATAATAATAATAAGGTTTATTCATTAAATAGCAAACTGTAGTGAGTTGAAAATAAAATTGCTAAATTTAAAATACCCAGTCTGACAGTAGCTGTATTATTATTATTATTATTATTATTATTATTATGAGAGATTGGTTATAGCTCTGCTATTTTGCGGTCCACTTCCTGCTCGCTGTTTAGTAAATAACTCCCAGTTTGGTGCATTGCTGTGTGCCAGCCAGTGTCAGGGTGATCATTAAAGCAGGACTCCAGACATCCCATAATACTCGACCGGAATGCTGGCAGAGCATCATCAGGTGAGTTGTAGTTCGTAACATCTGGAGTGTCCAAGGTTGCCTCCTCCATGACCAGTGTGCAGATTGTGGAGATTTGTTTCTGTTTCCATTTTATTAAAGGACCACTCTAGGCACCCAGACCACTTCAGCTTAATGAAGTGGTCTGGGTGCCAGGTCCAGCTAGGGTTAACCCATTTTTTTATAAACATAGCAGTTTCAGAGAAACTGCTATGCTTACAAATGGGTTAATCCTTCCTCCAATTCCTCTAGCGGCTGTCTCATTGACAGCCGCTGAGCGCGTGATTCTCACTGTAGAAAATCACGGTGAGCACCTAGCGTCCATAGAAACTTTATTATGAATGCTTTCCTATGCGACCGGCTGAATGCACGCAGCTATTGCCGCGCGTGCGCATTCAGCCGACGGGGCGGATCGGAGGAGGAGAGGAGGCAGAGAGCTCCCCGCCCAGCGCTGGAAAAAGGTAAATTTTTACCCCTTCCAGAGCCAGGCGGGAGGGGGACCCTATAAAGACAAGAGGCGAATATTCGCTTTACCTTCTTTACCAAAAACCTCCAGCAGCAAAAAAATAGTTAACATAACTTTTCAGAAAAACCAATCAGAACAAAATAACAGCAGTATAAAACCCTCGGGCAGACCCTCCCAATTCCTTTCTTTGCTGCTGCCTCCAGACGAGCGCCGTCCTGCTCAGAGAGCGAGCGCCGTCCTGCTCAGAGAGCGAGCTCCATCCTGCTCAGAGAGCGAGCTCCGTCCTGCTCAGAGAGCGAGCGCCGTCCTGCTCAGAGATCGAGCTCCGTCCTGCTCAGAGAGGGAGCGCCGTCCTGCTCAGAGAGCGAGCTCCGTCCTGCTCAGAGAGCGAGCGCCGTCCTGCTCAGAGAGCGAGCGCCGTCCTGCTCAGAGAGCGAGCGCCGTCCTGCTCAGAGAGCGAGCTCCGTCCTGCTCAGAGAGGGAGCTCCGTCCTGCTCAGAGAGCGAGCGCCGTCCTGCTCAGAGAGCGAGCGCCGTCCTGCTCAGAGAGCAGGCGCCGTCCTGCTCAGAGAGGGAGCTCCGTCCTGCTCAGAGAGCGAGCGCCATCCTGCTCAGAGAGGGAGCGCCGTCCTGCTCAGAGAGCGAGCTCCGTCCTGCTCAGAGAGCGAGCGCCGTCCTGCTCAGAGAGCGAGCGCCGTCCTGCTCAGAGAGGGAGCTCCGTCCTGCTCAGAGAGCGAGCGCCGTCCTGCTCAGAGAGCGAGCGCCGTCCTGCTCAGAGAGCGAGCGCCGTCCTGCTCAGAGAGGGAGCTCCGTCCTGCTCAGAGAGCGAGCGCCGTCCTGCTCAGAGAGCGAGCGCCGTCCTGCTCAGAGAGAGCTTAAATACTCCCGAAGCGGCGCCGTCCTGCTCAAAGCGGCGCCCGTCCTGCTCAGAGAGGGCTCCGTCTGCTCAGAAAGCGGCGCCCGTCCTGCTCCAGAAGAGGCGAAACTCCGTCCTGCTCAGAAGCGGCGCCGTCCATACTCTCAGAGAGGAGAAGCGCTGCGTCCTGCTCAGAAGGAGCTTCGTCCTGCTCCAGAAAGCGGCTCCCGTCCTGCTCAGAAGCGGCGCCGTCCTGCTCAGAAGGCGGCGCCGTCCTGCTCAGAAGGCGAGCTCGTCCTGCTCAGAGGGCTCCGTCCTGCTCGAAGCGGCGCCGTCCTGCTCAGAAGCGGCGCCGTCCTGCTCGAAGAGCGAGCTCCGTCCTGCTCAGAGAGCGAGCGCCGTCCTGCTCAGAGAGCGAGCGCCGTCCTGCTCAGAGAGCGAGCGCCGTCCTGCTCAGAGAGCGAGCTCCGTCCTGCTCAGAGAGGGAGCTCCGTCCTGCTCAGAGAGCGAGCGCCGTCCTGCTCAGAGAGCGAGCGCCGTCCTGCTCAGAGAGGGAGCTCCGTCCTGCTCAGAGAGCGAGCGCCGTCCTGCTCAGAGAGGGAGCTCCGTCCTGCTCAGAGAGCGAGCGCCGTCCTGCTCAGAGAGCGAGCTCCGTCCTGCTCAGAGAGCGAGCGCCGTCATGCTCAGAGAGGGAGCGCCGTCCTGCTCA